AATTCATTTTAAATTTATATGCACTCTAAATCAGAAGAGATCGTAATTTCGTTTAAAAAACATTTAACGAATCATTAAAAATATCCAAATTCCATTCGGCTACAGACATGTGATTGTATTTGCTTAAAATTCTTGAAAGTGGTTGATGTAGTCCTAAATTAGTTCGGTAATGTGGAACCCTAAAAAGTTTAGGAATGCGAGATCTTGGGCATTTGTAAGGAACTGCTAGGCTTACTTTTTCAAGAAGTACTGAACATTTAATATTTCCTGTAATAACCTTATGCAAAAAAGATAGATCAGCTATAGTTCTTCGGTTGCGTAAAGTACACATGTAAAAATGTTTAAGTCTCTGATCATACGGATGTCTATGCGAGATGTTCGGTGAAATATAGGCTAGATGTTTTGTAAAGACGCGTTGGATTTTTTCAATACGCTGAGAAGATGCACTATAAGTTGGATTCTAAACAACTGACGCAAATTCGAGGTGTGAAAGCACAAAACTGTTGTAGAGGATAATCTTCGTTTTTACTTCTTTAAACAAATTTGTGTTTCGGTTTATAAATCCGTGCATCCGCGCTGCCTTTCCTACAATTTTATCAATATGGGCGTTAAATTTTAGCTTGCTGTCAATTACTACTCCCAGGTCACGGATTTCATCAACTCTAGATAACAGAACACCATTCAAACGGTAGGCAGATGGAATAACCTTTCTTTTTCTCGTAAAAGTAATATGATAGCATTTGCTTGTATTAAGAGTCAAGCTGTTATTGTAACACCATAGTACTATATTGTTCAAATCGTCATATAATCATTGACATATATCGACAAAGGGAGATATAGCATTTATTTTATTACAGGAAATAGAAAACCAACGATTTTTCGAAATTTAGCGTAGCATAAAAGCAATTGAGTTTTATTTTTTAGTATTCGTAAAATCTAATTCATCCGTTGGACAAATACGTGTTGTAAAATTATTTACTACGAAAAAAAAACCCGTTGCATTTATTAAAACGGATCCAGTTCGAGCCAGGTCTCGTGCCGTGGCGTCGTCGCTACTCGCTTGTATCAAGCAAACAATGAATTTGTATGTACCTCGGTTTTTCCGTCTGAGTGCCGTCGCAGATTGCGGATATAAATGTTGCCTGCTCTATTTATAGGGCCAGTGCAAAAAAAGTCATGAAAAAATATTTTAATCATTAAATTATTCGTTTGTAATTTATGTTTTTTTTACCATGTTATCGTTAATGCAACCGTCATTGAATTTTTTTCTGTTTTCACAGTGCAGCGGCTGCGGACAAGGAAATTCTTCTTTAAAATATGTTTCGAATTTTTTGATAATTCTTTCTTTACATATGCGGCGGGATGGTGTGTTAATGAGGTTTTCTTTCAGATCTTTATTTCCGTTAAGAGATATTTGAAAGTGAAAATAAAACAAATGCATTAATTTTATTTGTTATAATATCACAACAAATAAAAGAAAATATTTGAATATAACACTTCCATAAAACACATGGTCAAAAGTATCAAATATCCAAATACTGAATTTGATTAATGTAAAGTTATCAAATCATGGCAGCCTAATTTAAAAAATAAACATATCAATAAAACATATTACCTAAATAATGCCATATTTCTCTTATCTTTCAGACTATATATAATACTGTCCAAATAAAAGCAGTTTGTTCATTTAAATAAGTATATATTTGGTCCTCCGTCAACAATTCTGATTCTTGGCAGTGTATAAAATGTGACAAAACATTCTAACGACTGTGCTTACTGTGTTGTCATAAAGTATTCTATATAAATGCGACGCCTTCTCATTTTGATAAAATTCAAATAATTAGTTACTTTTTTGGTTAAAATTGGTAACCTGTAAACCGTAAAAGACCACTGTCAACATCGATAACCAAAACGGGGACACATTAAAACTCCGAAGATAATAGTGGCTTTTCATATAATTTATTGTCTTCAATACTGAATAACACACAAAGTTTCTCACTCATCCGAATAGAGTTTCACATGTCTCACAGTTCCATTAGTTGAGACAGATGTCACAATAGTAAATTTCTAAACATCACATCTAACCTTTCCACCAACCTTCATATTTCAATGCATATTTTCTCATTTTGAAAGAACTGTCACCCAATCAATACTTGTGCAAACTGGCATGCATAAAATAAGTATGATAATGCCAATTTAAAAGTAAATAATTCAACCGATGCCATAATAAATTTGTTAATCATCAATTAATTACTTGTCGACATATAAATTTATTAGCATAGCTACGTCACATAATTAGTAGGTAGATAGTTAAACATTTACGCGGCAGCTATGTTTATTAATATACCATTGAGCCAAGACTTCACCCGGGTGCAATTTTGTTTCAGACTTAGTTAACAATACAATATAGCCATGTGTCTATAGATACATACATATTAATACTCTTTGCCTATCTGGAATGAAGGACGGTTCGCCTGGTGATAGAAATTTTCGAAAAGAGATATTGATTCTGGAGATTTTTTTTATTGGATTGTCCACTGTTGGCCTCTAGGAGGCCTTTACACATCGATTCTGGAGATGCACTGGAGATGAGCTCACAAACTACATTGTTGCAGAGCCACGCATCAGCTTCTATTACTACAACAATCACACGAAAGGAAAACATCGTGGGGAAACCTGCATATTTTCGAAACAATAATAAAAAAAAAATATTAATAAAAAGGTATATGAAGCCCGCTAATGCGCAGTGGGGTCAAGTGTTGGACTATGCCCAGATACTCTCTGCATAGAACAGGCCTTTTCCAGCAGTGGGACATTTACAGACTATTAGTTTTCCGTAAAAGTTCCACGAAGCCTACAGAAGGCCAGCGTGAAATGGAAGTATATACTTTCGCTATTCGTCTGGTCAAATTTTGCAACTGTCCGTGGGCGGTGGTAATCACTGAACATCAGGTTACCCCCCTGCCCGCTTGCAAGATTTTCAAATTCGCAGGCTTTCTGTTTCACTTGATATGTATTAGACGCCACATAATTATTAATTAATATTTGCAACACTCTGTAGTTCCAAATATTGTCATCAAATTAAAAATCACTTTAAGATAAGGAGATATTAAGACAAAACTTTAGGAGTATCTTAAAAAAATAGAATTTATGAAACATAACGAAGTACTATTTTCTTGGGGTTGTTAATTATTGAATACTGATCACTTAGTTGGTAAAGGTATGAACGTGATCAAATATCGAAAGAAAAAAAATAAATACAAAAGAAGCTCTATTTGCCGAAAATATTGTTTAGGTTTGTGACAGCCCTGATACAATATTTGTCAAAATTCATTCCTTTAAGTGTTCAAACATTTTACCGTATTACCGTGTCTAAACGAGTAACATGAACATCTTTTTGTTATTTGTCATGCTTAAGGCGATTACTCAATCATTTCCATGTGCCTGTCTATTGAATGAAAATGTCAATTTATGACAGATATTTAAAATTGCTTTAAGGCTGTACTACTGTTATTAGGCAGATCTATCATTTCTTAATGTATCCTATTAACATTTTTGAGAATAGCACAGTTTAACAGACAGTAGTAATAACATCGAAATAACTGTGCCCTCAATGGGAAACAAACACCCAAATCTGGAACAATTGTCTGTGGGTCATACAAATACTTGTACCTTGTGGGATTCGAACCCGCGACCCCCAACTCCGAAGCCTAGCAACGACGCAACCGAGTCATCTTTCAGCTCTCATTTATTAATATGGACAATACTAAAAAGCTTTTGTTTGACTAAATAGTGATCGTAACAATCGAAATTGGAACTACTCGATTTTAGTTTCATCAGTTGTTGATTTTGTGAACTCTAAATTTAACAAGCAATATGTAAATGATAAGAATATTTTATAATTAACAAGAAAATTTACTTTAATGTTTAATTGTTAAATCTATTCGTATAACTTTATTAGTCTAAATTATTACCGCCAAATATGAAACAAGTAAAATGACGACGTTGATGTCTTTTACTTAAAGAATTTACAAAACATGAGATTAGATGACTTGATTTGACTGATTGCTTTGAAAGGTAGCAAATCTAAGTTACATACATTTTTAGTATCATAATTATTTTATTGTTTTGTCATAATAAGTGACTGTTGTGTAAATGAATATATTGAAGTTACAGTTGCCAAGAACCGTCAAAATATCAGCTTTTGTAATTGTCGAAAAGTCTGATACAAATTTTGATTTTAATTAAACTGATTTTTTTAATCTGAAAAGTTGCCGAAATGACAGAGCAGACACTTGATGTAAATGGATTACTGCCGCCCACGGACTACAGGTCTACGGTGTTAACCCAAAGGTTACGTACAGAGTTAGTTTACTTTTAAACTGTTCTATGTGGCTCTACTATAGTTAAGAAGAAATGACTAATGTAATACAAACGTACAAATATATTTATTTATATTATTAATATAGATGAAATTATATTCAAATTCAAAATATCTTTATTCACATAGACGCTTGCGTGTTCTTATTAAAAGTCAAAATATCAAATAAAAATTAATACGTTCGTGAATAAGTTACCACCTATATCTTTCTAAAATTATTGTTTAATCGGAGTTTGATTGTTTACGAACTTCAACAAAATATCTTCAATCACTTGACTTGTAGTTGGGAGGATTCCCTATAGGCGTTTCCAATGAAGCATAAAAACCAATCATTTAGTTACTTTATAGTCAATATTTCTGTATCAATAAATCTCACCAAAACATAAAGCAACACGCAAAGAAAATAATGTTATAGTTAGTTGATTATAGGACGAAGTCAAATAATGGGACGAAGCAATAAGAAAATCAACAGAAAATTTAAATCAACAAAAAACAATTGCTCTACATTTTCATATAGAGATTTGGAGAGGACTAATGAAGTCGAAATACCCCAACGTCTTTTGCTAGCGTCCTGCAGTGACTAATAATCGACCGTGCATCCCTTTGGGGTCCCGGCCAAATGGAACAATACACAAATGATCGGATCCGCTACAGTTTCCGGCTAGCCGGCAATTCACTGAACTCGACCGGAACCCATCGGAAGTTAGCTCAGCGGCGCCTTCGACCGCCGACCGCTCAGCAACTCCTGATCAAGAGGCGCGTCGCGGCTCAGTTACCGCGCGACAGGCACTGCGCACGGACGCGTTGCACACCCGTTGATTAAACGATTTTCTCTCCCGCCAAATTGAACGGAACGCATCGGCGTCTAATGAAAAGATCGCAATAAAGTTCGCCTCGGCCGTACTCTGTGGACATCGCGCTCGGTTTGTAAAAAAAAATAAACACCACTTTAAGTTTATCAACGATTGCGCGAAGGCGAAAACGAGGACAATAAGGTAAAGATTTTATTACGAGATTACGATTTATTTAGTTTGATGGCGTTACCTCTAAAACTGTTTACACGTAAATAATATTGTTTGTTTATGAGTTGTCTTGATTTTATCCTTCGTACAAGAGGTTTGACGGTGTCAGCGCATATTTGTTAATATTAAATATTCCCCTCTAATCCAATCTGCTTAAGGCCAAGCTTGGAGGCCCTGTAAAATATGACACTGGTAATTTTAAACATGTACATGGATGGACGCGGGGGCATATCTATTATGTCACTCGCGACGTTTAATCGAAGCTGAGAGGCGATGTTTGCGTAAACAAGCGTATCGGCGACACCAATTCAAGGCTGTTCCAAATCGACAATCGGCCAAATAAAACCCTCAGCATATCGCAAGGCTAGCGAATAACTCACCGGTGATAGTAAGTCGCGTGACATTTATTGTATCACTTCCGCGAGTACATGAAGTGACGCCAGCGGTGGTACATTTTAATCTTTTTTTTTCCAATACACATAATAAGGATTAGCTATAAATCAAATCCCGTACAAATTCTGTACATTTATTACGTAGGGGCAGCGATTAATTTAAAGTGTACGCATTATTTGGTGATACAGTAAAATGCAAAACGATACCCGCGATACCATAATCTTTGGGACCCGCATAAAATCACAGATTACAATTAGATTTGAAACAACTGTTAAACAATGGCGCACTTTTTAACCCTTTATTATTGTTTTATTTCATTATTTTAACATATACATAATTTTATATCCGTCTATACGTTCCCTCGTAACTATAAAACAGCTGAATCGATTCTAATCAATGACATATCGTTATATTTGTCTGTATTGCGCGACTGTCTCCGAGTATGAAAAAAAAATAAAAATGTAAACAGCGGATTTGTCGCGCGAAGAATATTTCACTCTTCTAATTCGGGGGATCGAACGTATAAAACTTCATTGGTAGTTGGCAAAGTAACGACGTAAACCATTGGGTCATCCATCTATAATGCTCATATTTCAGAACGCGTTTCGTGCTTTTAGTCTTCTTTATCGTAATAAAGGTTTATATTTACAATAAATGCAACGATGACCCAAACAAATACCAAATGAATAACAAAATATCGAGATTTTTCCACATCATGTCGGGATAATTTTGGAAGATATATAAAGTAACAGCCTATACATGTCCCACTGCTGGGCAAAGGCCTCCTCTATACAGAGGGTATCAGGGCATAGTCCATCACGCGGCCCCACTGCGGATTGGCGGATTTCACATGTCTTCGAAATATATATATTTTTTTTGTTATTATTTCGAAAATATGCAGTTTTCCTCACGATGTTTTCCTTCACCGCGGAGCACGTGATAAGTCAGCACTTAAAGTTAAAAACTTCATTGGTGCCGGCACCGGGGATGCTCAGGTTGAGTATATATTGAATTAAAGGCGAGCGCCCGGACACTGAGCTATCACGGAAGATATATGAATGATTTGTATTTATTACATAAAAATCATTAATGATGTATGGTAAAATAGTTTCTTGTATTGAAGCCCTCATGTCCACGAGAAAAATTCTTTATATTTATAACACGACTGTTAAGTTATTGGTAATTCTAGTTTGTTTCAACAAAATAATTTTTTTTATTAGTAAAACCAGTCAAGTGCAGGATGCTTTTTAAACCTCTATTGCTTATGTATCTTTAAAAAAATGTATAAATCAATCTTGAAGCTAAGAAAAAACAAAGCTAACGTTTTTAATCTCTCCTTTCACTACAATTTTTGAGACTCAAACAAAAGTTATATCATTAAATTACTTGTGGGTGATTATTCAAATAACAAAGTAAAGAGTGGATGAATGTTTTTAAAAAATAAAGTAAATTCAATGAACTACTCGGTTGGTTCATTAGCATTACATTAAATTTCTTTTTGTAAATATTTGCTAAGTTACGTATTGCTTATATGTCTATAATTATAAGACACTTATAATCTGAATCCATTCATTATGCACCGTTGACATTTAGATTTGTGTTGACTGCAGTTTTTCTTCGAACTCCCCTCATTATTGATATGTGGATCACTTTATGTGCGACATTACGTGATCGCGCTTTCTCTTTCTGCGATGTTGTGAAATTTCTTGAGGTTAACGTGCACACGTTTTGTTTGTAATACGCAATGTAATAAAAGATACCATGACATCTATTAATTAAATAATATTAAGAATTTTATCGCACAATTAATTTTTTGTGTCAAATTAATTCCTTTAATTAATAACATTTACATTTAAGAGCCCTCAGTTAATTCGCTCTCATCTATTGTTATAGGCGTAATTTATTTTTTGTTTTAATTTTAGAATGTTTCGTCTGAATTGTGTTTTAGTAGTAAAATTGTTAATTGTACTTAATGTTCTTGGGGCATTCGTATACTTTGCTATAATTCCTCGTTTCTTTTAATTATTTGAATACTTTGAAAACCTTTTAAGCCGTACTTCTATCGTGCTTTTAACAAAAATAGTACAAACCATTTACTTCGAAGTGTTAACATGAGAGCATGTTGCAACTTTTAGTCAACACCGTATTGCCGTCCAGTGAAGATAATTTTTGATTATGCCAGACTAATCCGCATTAAATTTCGCGTAAGAGCTAATTGTCGGCCTTGAATTTGTCAATAGGTTAGTTATCAACAGCGGATTTGAAATTGTTTCACAATAATTTGAATACTTTGAATTCGTGGCTTTAAAATTGACTTCTTACTCATATCCAAACAGATCTCTGGTATTTTTAATGTGAGAAGATGGTAACGTGCAGGCGGTTCACCTAATGTTAAACGATAACGAGTGCCCATGTTCAGTTCTCACACCCGTACGGTTATTAATGCGTTGCCGACCCTTAAAACAGGCCCCAAGTAATCTCATTTACCAGACTAAATGCAATATGACACTGCCAATTTATAAAGTGAGACAGTGGGATGAGCAGGCTTATCCAGTTAAGTACTGGATGAGCCTGCAGAAGAGCGAAAGAACCAAGTGCCAAGTCGTCCTACCACAGAAAGATAACATGTAACATAAAAGTAAGGATATCAAGCGTAAGGTCGAGTTCGAAAATATGTAACGCTGTTGCAATATTGCATCTGAAAATATAAAATGAAACCGTTAACAGCATTACGCAATCCAGCCTTATTTCGTTAACATTGCTTAGTTGACTTGTCTCTTAGTGTCTAAGAACATGTTCAGTGTTTGATGTTAGCACGTTTTTTATAAAGAGAACAAATAATTTGAGTAGTTTAACAAACATTTACAAAATTACTTATAATTGTAATTGTCATAAGTGTAGAATTGGTCTGTCTGACCAATTTAGTATTGTAATGTAAGTTATCATTCTATAAGTTCGTTGACTTTATGCGATATAATTATGCGATATATGCGATATATTTTATAAAAAAATTCACGTAACATCTTTTCGCTAGACATTATTTGTACCAGCTGGTTAAGGTTTTCTGTGTCTTAAGAAACGAATTGCGCTGTGAGTATTCGTAATATTTATGAAAATATTACGAACACACACAACACAACAACAAAACAATACAAATTTAAAGAAAATACAACTAACTTAAAGATTCTTCCTAGTTAATTATGCCCAAGATATAGTTTTAGACTGTTTTCTTCCAACTCCATTAGATCATGTGAAAAAAATTTTAATTCCGCTTGCGTTTTTATTATCTGCTAATACTTTTTTAGGAAATAAAACTATCCTTAACCTAATAAGCTAGTGCAGGACCGTAGTTCATTTAAATCCCAACACAAACATGCGTTTGCACATTTATATGATACATGAACGTGAATGCTATAAGTACGTGAATTCACATTAATTAAGTTAGTAAAGTTAAAACAGTTTCACAGCTCAGGGAAATTAAATATAAATGCTTATTAAAACTTTCTTATAATTATTAAAAAACAAAATAGATGAGGCGTCAGTTTTCACGCGGTGAGAATTTCCGCGTCGGCTTAGCTTAGTGGCTGGCGTCTGGTCGTAAATATCATAGCATCGTAATCCTGAAGGCGCAGTATTTATTTAACCATTTCATCTCATGAATACTTAGTGTTTTCGTGGAAATTGTGAACAATATCAGCTTTTCATCTTTTTGCACTGGCATAATATGGGAACATTCGGATTACTATCTAAAACCTTATTTGTTTGAATAAAATAGCCCATGTACTACATGGTAATACTTTCAGAGTCACTTTAGCAATTTCAGATATGACATATAAAACTAACCAATTTCAACTCATTTATATTATTAGGCTAGAAGTAATGGTTCTCGAGTTTGTTTTTGGCCGACTAATGGATCAAATGTGTTTATTTACTTTTAAAATGTGACATAAATATCGCGCTACTTGACAATCGCCTAATTTATGTGCTAAACACTTCGCTAAGTGTGCGTGGGTGAACTTTTATTGTAATATCGCACCATAGTAACAGTCTTCTATTTTTACTTGGATTACCGCGTTGTCGATGAGCCGTGATAGCTCATGCGCCGTGATAGATCATGCGCCGTGATAGCTCATGCGCTGTCATAGCTCATGCGCCGTGATAGCTCATGCGCCGTGATAGGTCATTTTCCAGGCGCTCGCTTTTAATTCAATATACTCGGGCAATCTTAGTTCGATCCCCGGTGGCCGAGCCAACGCAGTGTTTCTTTCGTTTCGCTGATAATGTTGGATTCGGACACAAGATATTCAATATTCCTATTTATCATGTGCTCAGCGGTGAAGGAAAATATCATATTTATTGAAACTATATATTGAAACCAACATATTTTCGAAATAATAACAAAAAATTATATTTCGAAGATGCGTGAGTCCGCCGATCCCCAGTGGGGTCGCGTGGTGGACTATGCCCTAGTAAAGCCGTTTCCCAGAAGTGGGATTATGGATTTAGATGCTGTTACGTTACACACACACACACACGCACGCACGCACGCACGCACGCACGCACGCACGCACGCACGCACGCATGCACGCACGCACGCACGCACGCACGCACGCACGCACGCACGCACGCACGCACGCACGCACGCACTTTTCGACGATTTCTGACAATCACCCTTATTTCACTGTTTAAATCAGCTTCGGTTTGCATTAGAGTATACAGCGTGTAGTTTAATACGTCCACGCAATGCTACATATATTATACACAAATACGAGGTAGATATGACACTGATATGACACTGACACGGCAAACATCTTTGCGTCCACGGCTTAAATAGACAAAACAATCATCTAGTCGTTATATGGTCGTTGCAAAAAGACAGTTGAGAGTCAATGTTTTTGTCAAATGTCATAAAAAATCTTTCGACTGTCATATATTCACGGTCATTCTTACATTCCATTGGACTCGTTATAACGAACGACAAGGTCGTAATTCTTTTGCCCAATCGTTCGGATCTGCTCGTTTATACAGAAAAGTTCCAGTTCCTCTATTAACTTTCATTTTCATTTACATATCTTTATTTTACTAAAAAATGTACGCTGCATAAAAATGTGAATAGAATCTATAAAATATTCAGATTGTCCTTTATGCGGTGAACTTTTTGTTACAGATTTTCAGTCAAAGTAACAACATAACATATATATAAAGAAATCCCTTCGGTTTGTATTAACAACATTGTACTTTATTATTTATTCTTAAAATTAAACACATTCAAAAGCTATTTTACACTGTAATCTGTCCGAAACGTTGGGAATGAAAGCCAAAATTGAGAGCGATGAAACCCCTAGAATACAATTACTTTAAATTAATTAAATTATTTAAATTTATATAATTATAAATTATTTAAATTTGAAAATTGGTTATGTTTTGGGCATATAAGAATATTATTTACATTATACATAGTAAATAAGTGAAGTAGTATCTGCAAATCTTTCGAATTGAGCAGAGAGTTCTTTTTCTAAAATGGAAAGAAACACGGAATAATTTTGGATTATCATACTCTGTTAGTAACTTTTAAGTGATTATTATTTTATAGTATATATTAATTTTAATTCACCCTTCATTATAAATCAACAGCATCAATTTACCTAAATTTGTCGTTTAGAAAGCTAGAAGAAAGAAAGAAAGAATGAGATTTATTTGACATAAAACAGACTGACAACAATCATTCAAAACAATAAAAATTAGACAAATAAAAAAACATGAACATGGAACTATAATATGTATATTTTCCCTTTTCAATATAGTACATCGCGGTTATGTCAAAAAGTACAGCACTCAGCAGAATGTTGCAGTGAAACTGCAAAGCTGACTTTCAGTAATGACCAAAGAATTGGGGAATACAGTCCCGAGCCCAAAAAAAAACAATACATTGATTGAAAACAAAAGTAATTTGAAATAGATGCATTGTAAAATTTATTGTACACTAAAACCGAGAATGCATCTGGGTTTTAGTGTGCAATAATAATCCAGTGTCCCCAATAGCAAAGCTTCGACAGTCATCCGCTACCTTGGTCGTATACAAAATCACGAGTTGATTAGTCAACTGACTTTTATACCATTGTGTAACGTAATAAACTCCAACATTCTGACTGCTGTTATAATTCTTGATGCTTTGTTCACGCGACTGTCTGATGTCATTGTGTCACTTTCAGCATAAGAATAATAACTATTTCTCCTCGAACTGAACACAGTAACAGATAAGAATCTACGAGGAAAGTTAGTTTGTTGCAATTATTTTCTCTACCATTAGTTTCATTCTGTCATCAAATCAAATGTTACCCAAAAGGTAAAATGGGACCTTATTACTATGACTCCGCTGCCTGTCAGTCTATTTGTCGATCCGTCAGACTATATCTCATGAACCGTGATAGGCGGTTCAAATTTTCACAGATGATGTATTTCTGTTGCTGCTTTAAAAAATAAAAAAATGGGGCTCCCATACAACAGACACATTTTTATAGATAATGGTACGGAACCCTTCGTGCGCGAGTCCTACTCGCTCTTGACCGGGTTTTTTTTAATTTATCGTACGTACGAACGTTTGATTAGCTTAGTTTAAAGGCAATTTAAAAACGTAGACCTAAAGTTTTCCTTTTAATATTCTATTCGCAGAAAAGTGTGAAATGAAAACATAATGCCTCATAGAGAATTCATGACACACAGTATCAACATTTATGCCAACGCGGTAAAAGACTGTCGCGAGTCACAACTAATATATTTAAATGAAATACACTGTATTCCCTGTTATTGTTGATAGAATCGGCGATATTTGCTTCATTCGATATTATAAAGAATTCTCTCATATCATAAATATATTCACCTTTAAGCGTTATTACATAAAGTTATATTCCACATAATGTTCCAGATAGTTGAAATTACAAAATATTCATATATTTTTTAGAATAATTTTATAAATGTGGTATAAAAAACAACAATATTATATTTACAAAATATTCGTATTGCAGTTAGTAAAATACTTTAGAATTTACATGAGTAAGTGAGACGATAAGTGACAGATTTACATGGGTTGAGAAGGTTGGTAAATAAAGTTAGAGACTATTATACATTTAGCTTAAAGAATTATGACGTGAAGTGTAGTAACTTTCACGTTTTATGACTTTTCTTAAGAAATCTGCCCACTCAAACAAAACAGTTTGCAAATTTCAACTTGTACTAGTAAAAATAAAAAAGCATCTGCAAACCTACGGGTGTTGCAAATGTCAATGGGTGCTCTCTTGCCACCTTCTCACATAAAAAAAATTACGCACGCGCAAACTGGGATTGAAAGTTGAATTACTTTGACAGTGCGTTAACACACTGAACAATAGGGAATAACTCAAATAATGTTTTCCAAGTAACGTAACCATTAAACTGAGGTTGCGGATCACGCAACGTGCCTAGTGTCGCTTTTTCGCTTAACTAATCACTCAGTTCCCATAGTTGCCGAGATTCCCACATACGCTCGCAGGTCGTGATAGCGACACCGCATCGCGACGCTATCACTCGAGCGCGCGTGCAAGGATACACGCGGCAATTTCGGCCCAAAATATCGCTGTGATGTACAAGATGTGAATTTGGATTTTTTTTTTCATGTTATAAAGTGGCAAACAGAGCTGGCGGTTCACCTGATGTTAAGTGATAACCGCCGCCCATGGACGTTTGCAACACCGGTTGCAGATGTGTTGACACCTTTTAAAAATTTGGGCCGCGGCTACCTCACTCACCAGACGAAACGCAGAAGTGTAACACTTCTACTTTACGCCGGAGGTCGCGGTACTAACTTGAAGGACCTGCCCATTCGTACAACAGCGAGTACTGTAGCGTGGTCCTACCACAGTATTGGATTTGGATTTAAAACAAAAGAGGTTCTAAAATGTGCCAGTGACGAATTTCGAATGCCGTATTTTCGATCGCAATTACAAGTGGTAGGGCCCCGCAGCAGCCTTTTCTTGTACAAATTGGCAGGCTCTTCCGGGGAAGTACCAAGGCCTTATTAAGGACCGGCGGGGATACGGCTGATTTTCATCTGGTTACTTAGGTGCCCAGAGCGGACTTTTTAAAAAAGCGATAATGTGTCTGCAATCCCATGATGCAGATGTCCATGGGTGGCGGTTATAACTTAGCATCAGTTCGACTGACCGCTATATTGCCACCCTCTCACCTAAAAAAATACATAAGGTTTATTTATAACTAGCGACCCGCCCCGGCTTCGCACGGGTGCAATGTATTATACGTATAAACCTTCCTCTTGAATCACTCGTATCTATCGTAAAAAAACCGCATCAAGATCCGTTGCGTAGTTTTAAAGATCTAAGCTTACATAGGGACAGACAGACAGCGGGACGACTTTGTTTTATAATATGTAGTGACACACTCAACTTAGTCAAAACGCATGTGATACGCATGATCATGTTTTTAAAAATATTAACATTTATTACATTGGATTGAGAACATAAAATGTTTTAAACCGGAAAAATACTTTCTGATGATTTAAGACAACAAAACATAACGAAATTACCCTTTGTTTTGTTTTGGTCGTGTAACTCGTTTAGTTTAGTTCGGATATTCTATGGCGTATATAAATAAATATTCTTTTTCGGTTTCTTCTATAATAAAGATGAAAAATAAATGCGCTTAGTACGGTACTAAGTTCAAAGGTGTTTTAAATTCGAACTGCACAATCAGTTTCGGATTTCCCGTATTTCGTGTCCGAAACTGTTAGACGTCGACATTAATAAAGACGCGTCACGATTCTCCTTTCAAACAGCCGTGCCATTTGTAAGTGGCAAGGATGTCAATGAACACATGTATGTCTGGGAAGCCCGGAGACAAAACGTTTGGACGGTCGTCTACTAAACAAAAACTATATTTTGTACGAAACATTACAATATCTGTTTTCTTTGCAGGTTTCGCGGTGCATTGCGGATGGTATGACAATGGGAAGAGACACTCTTATTTAAAAAGCACAGAGCAGCGTTGACATTATTATGTTAAATCAACTGTAACGGTCCGTGCTTTGTGAGCTGATATTGTACAGCAATGTCGAGAGGCTGTTAAGCAATGGCTGTGGCGAATTACTCGATACCACCCGTCGGGGCCGCGACGCCCGCCGTTTTCGTCACGACCCCCGCTCCCCTCCACGTGGATCTGAACGACCTGCTGTATTCTCCGGAGGACTACCAACAGGAGTACGCGCCGCAGTATCCCGGCAACGAGCCCTTCACCCAGCCCCACAATCCGCCGCAGCCACGGAGATCGAAGCTCCGAAAGCGGGCCGGTACCGCTTACCTCCCCCCGCCTCCACAGTACACGCAGTACCAGCAACAGGACATCCCTATCAATCCTTTCACCGGACAAGTTCATACGCAAGCGAACCAGCAGAACACGAGGCTACAGCTCGCGAACCAGCGCGTGCATCAAGCCACAACCCAATTCGACAACACAGGGCAGTACGTGCACGATCCCACTGGAGATTACGACTACGAGCAGAGGCGAACTGGCGGCGTACCGCACGAATCCTACAGCCCCGGGTATACGGATGCCCCGTACCCGCCGGCTACGTCGCCCGGGCAAGCGTCCAGCAGGAGGCTGGACAGCACTCCCAGCCAGAACACTAACAAGTACTACGGAAAGAGTCCAGTGACGCCATCGACTCAGAGGCCGCGGACAAATGCAGGGACTAAGAGTGGTGGTAACGGTAGTGGAAGTGGAAACAGTGCTGGGGGCCGTAGCGACTCAAACGCACCCCCTGATCAGCCCCGCGGTTTCACTAAAGTGGAAACAGGCAGCTCTGGTGGAAAGACTCAGCTGCATGCGGTGCTCGACTACGACGATGACGACGAATATTACGACGACCCGTCGGGATCAGGTAATGACCGATACTTTCAAATACACAATTTGAGTAAAATAGCCAATGAGTCCATATTTCAGTCCTTTAGTAGACTTACGACGAACTAAGTAACTTTCCAGGCCGCACCAGTTCACTTTGCCTTTATCTTTCCCCGCCTTTCGCATACCTCAATGAACTTTAGTTGTTGTTTTGATTTAAAGAGTGTGTCGCTAATTATGCTACTAAGCAACAACGACCTTACTATTGAATCGTTAAATACTGTTTGCACGAATTTAACATTGTTTATGGTCATACCATTTAAGAATAACGTAAAATGTCGGGGCGTGAACTGGAGCCCGACTAAGTTCTCAATCATCTGTCGACATATTACAAGGTTGCGTTACGTATAGGTTGTATATATATCTCGGCTCTCACTAGGGCCTCTGGTCAGTTACAGTCGGCCAATGTCATTCAGACAATGAATAGCGCACAAAGCACGTCGATTCGTAATCGTATTTAACCTCCTAGAATTTTGTGCTAAGCGCACTACATTCAGCTCTACAAGGCGTTTGAGGACAACGCACATGTCCTATTTCTGTAGAAAAACGTGATCAGAAGCACTCGTAAAGTTCAATGTCACAAATTAAAATGTGTTTTTTTTGCATTGCGCACTATTTATGATTTATAATGTCGTATTTAAAGGTCTCCTTACTTTAAAAACGCGTACTAAAAACGCCTATCGAACAAGCCGTACTTTTAGTTTAAGCTGCATGTTTAATATTTTAAAACTATATCTTATCATATTCTCATAATTTATTATCTTTAGGTTGAATATTATTGAATATCAACCTATATACATATACTGCATATGTTTTTTTAAGCAGACTTCAGTCCGGGATACTCAAAAATCTGTTTTGTTTTTGTTTTTCAACCTGTTCTCTTTTTCGATCTCTCGTGGATTTGCCGACGCGACATTGTACTAGTCATTCAGATGTATCCGAACAATAAACCTTATTTTTTATTTTGTCACTTAAAGTTAATCTCTGTATACGATTGCTTTAATATATTTTTAAAAAAATTTTTCAATGTTACAAAAACAATCGTATCATATTAAAGGTAATTTCTTAACCTTGTTTCACAGAAACTGATGATTATTATATATAATATGGGACAAATAATACAAAGGCCTTCTATAATTATCGATTGTATCTGAAATTGACGAATACAATTTAAGTGCAAGGTGAGCTGAAAGTAAAAAAAATACAGTCGAATTGAGAAGGAACCTCCTACTTTTTAGAAGTTGGTTAAAAAAAAAATTACACAATAGATGAGTTATATTCCCGTGCTAGCGACAGTTTTTACATTTATTGTAATCGAGCGACTTGAGTGCCAGTCCGGGTAGCAGCACCATAGAACTTTCAGTCACCATTTTGAATGCTGTTGTGAAACATCGTATGTTCGATGATGAATGGAAATGTTTACTAATTAAATGTTACTACAAGTTTTTAATAGTTATCAAACTGTTAAGCAACTAATCTAAAAATGATATGAAAGGATCATTGGACTTAATAATTGATTTAGCACGAACCGTCTTATATACAGTGTGAATTTCAACATTTAGAAAATTTATGATTTCTTTAACTTCATGGCTTCTTTTTTTTGTGTTTGCAAGGAATGAGTAATTATAGCGCATATGTTTGAACATTTGTTTATAAATAGAGGCGTGATAGCTGTGCCCAGGCGCCTCCTTATCTGCTTTAAATTTATTATATTCCAGCATTCCAAATCCCAAGCAGTCCAAATTTCGGTGCCGGTATCAATGAAATTGTTAATTGCAATTTTAAGTGCTGACTTATCACGTGCATAGCGGTCAAGGAAAATATCATGAGGAAACCTGCATATTTTTTAAATAATAAGTAAAAAAAATGAAGATATGTCAAGTCCGCCTATCCGTAGTGGTGTCGCATGTTCTATGACCTAATTGTACCCTCTGTACAGGGGTACTCCCTTATATTTTACTTTACCCAGCAGTGGGACAAATATAGGGTGTTTATTTTACTTTACCTTTTTTCAATTGAAATATTTACGCATGCTCGTAATTGAGTTTTGAAATATGATTTTGTTCTTTATCTCTTTAATACCGCGTAACGTTGCCGCAATATTTGAAATTCACGTAAGCGATTTTAATGTTACACACTCTTCCACGAAAGGTTACTGACAGCGTGTATCTACAGCTATTTTTTAAAACCATTGCCCAACTGAAAGTGAGAACTCGACGAGATTGCGGATGGCGGGCCGTCGCTTTTAACGTGTCCAAGACTCTACGAAACCTACGCGTTCGCAAGTGAGAAGCGACGGCCGACCTTGGTTTCACTTTCGAATACGTATCATCTCGGCAGGTCGGGGCACTTCTTTGAGGCACTCAACTCGCCTGATTGAATTGGGCCGCTTCTTGTTGCTTTATCCCTTTGTAAATTGAGTTTTATGTGCAGTCATCTAAGTACGCATGAAGCGTCGATTACTAAATATGACTTGTATTTATGATTGGTACGGTGATAGGGTCGTATTCGTTGAATGAAAAAAATTGAATAAGTCATTTCTGTAGTATCCAACGGATTGAGAAGACGTTGAATTCAGATCAAACCTTGTACCCGCTAGTGGCGTCAGTATCAATTTGGTCGAATTCGTGACCAAGTTTTGAAGAAACATTTATGCTAACTTGTAATATTAAGTCTGTGGATTATTTCCTATTTAATGTTTTGTAAAATGTGTATTGCCATAACTATATAGTATACAATTACGTGTTCTGCATTTCAACAGTAGCGATGTAAATGTATTACTACCAACATCGAAAACGCATTGTTGTATGTCACTGGTTGAACCAGCGTCCTCAATTTCCGGACCGTTTCTTTTTTAATGAATCAAATAAATATAACATGAAAAGTTGAGTAGAATCATATTAAAACAAAACCACAAAGTTGTCGAACACCGTCAAGCAAAAGTGAGAATTTTATTGTGGGATTATCGTAAATTATTCACGATGTTTATCTCCTTAACCGAGAAGTTACAACATACCTCTTGCATATTATGAGGTCCATTTATTCGTAGAACGCCGCTATTGTTTATGTAATGACAAGCTGACCATGCAGAAAGATGTTGCAAGTCTAGAGGACTGGAAGAGATCTTCGCGCATTTCCACACTGTATTTAGATATGCGTTTCATAAATATATTTGGCGATTTTAGCAATACGAACGTCCGATTCATTGCGGGCGAAATAAATTCACGTTTTATAAATGCATTTCTATCATCGAGCGTTAATGAAATATATTCCTACTCTCTATAAACTTGTTCATGTTTCGTTTAATGGAAGTTCTAAATTATATAATGGTCCGTTGAATTATTTATTCGTAATACGAAAAGCGAATGACCAATGACCGCAAATACCTCCAGTTGCCAGTTAGCCCTTTCAAATACCGACCTTACACCGACGTGTAATGCGGGACCAGTTTCTTTGTGTCGAACATAATTCATTACGTCTAGAGATAAGCGTGGTGTACATTAAAATGCACTATGCCCCCTTCCGCTTAGCTCTGGACCGCGAACTTGAAACAAATGTCGCATTACAACTCGTTTTTCGTGTAAACTCAGCTTACCAAATAACGGTGTCACTTGTCCGACACAAATGACTCATTAAATGGTGTTGAATACTAGTTGGAGTAAATATAGAAAGTGATACTACATAAAGTCGAAACTATATTAAAAATGCCTTTTAGGATAGTCCGGTACTTGAATCTATCGAAACTATCGCTAATGTCGAACATGTTGGAAATTAAAATATATAGTAAGTATATTATAAAATAGAAGATAACAAGGTGACAATTTAAAGCCATTCGATTAGTATACAAAATTAAAACCTTACTAACCTCAATACTGGATTACGTAGCCAATCACAAAAGCTTTATCACGAGAAGGTACACCATTTAAGTCTAAGTAATAATAAAAAAGGTATTTTGCAATGACAGTAGTTAAGTCATGCACGCATCAAAATGCATGACTCTGATTAGGTAGGGTTTATTTAACTTGTGGAAACACATCCTTTCTACAAGTTCTGTGCCCGATGAAGCTTTATATAATCTACGGAACACAAATACAAAAACTATTAATTTATTTAATGGATTGAAAAAAGACGTTGAACATATTAACTTAAAAGAGTATTCAAGTAAAGCGCAAAAATTGAAATATATTTGCAGTAGGTAATAAGCAATTTATCGATAATATTGGACGTTTGATGAAAGTGAAACTTAACTACAATTAAGGCATTTAAAGTTCAACACCATCTCCAATTCTCAAATAATTATCCTGCATTGTTTTTTTTTTTTCAAATTTTACTACATCAAAATGGAGCAAACAAGTAAATGGAGCATTGGCTATTAACATGGCTTATGGCTTTGTTAATGCACGTATTTTTCCATATGCGCATGACTTTGATTTAGAAGGGCCTGTTAGGGACATGGTAAATTAGCCACATAATATAAGCAAACACAATCAAAAATAGAAGAAAGTTCAAATTTTCAATTTTTGATGACTTTTCCGAATTCATACTTACTCCTATTGACACATTAAGTGATCACGGATATTACTGGGAATTTACCAAGAGCGCCAGGGGTATTCATATATATCATATATTCATGTGTATTCATATAGATTCAATACACAACTGACCTTAAACTACAGCAACACCATTAATGAAGTTTAACGTCACAAACGTATTCTCAGACTGCGAACCATAAATCATAATGTTATATTGATACGAGAATTTACCTTTCGTATGAGTTCCCTTGTTGATATTTATTTTTTTTTAAAACGATTGAAGGCATTGGTAATATCAACAGACACACCAGTAGTTTATATTACTAAATAGCTTACTAGTTGTTTTGCCATATTAATTACTTATTTCTAGAGGAATCGGAACGCGTTCAAAAATTGTTTGACAGGTTGACAGGTACAGTTTGTATGGGAAAATAAAATTGTTGCTATTTAGATTTTCCAGGCAATTTTTCCAGAATTTCTCACCGTTAAAACCTTCCCAGGACTGACACAAATATTTCAAAACCAAAATTAGGCAAATCGGTCCAGCCGTTCTCGATTAACGAACAGCAATCCATTTTTATATATAAGAAGTTGTGGTGTAGTACGTATGGTTTCATAAATTCAGCAACATAAAGTTAACAAGATAATCTCACTTTCGTATGTAATAATGTTTACACAATACTTTTCCCAATTTTGTGTGAAAAAAATCGGTGATCAATTTTTACTAACTGACCTTAACTTTCGATACCTATAATACTTAGTTTCTTTTTGTGTTTTTTAATCCCATGAGACGAAATCATGGGTTATGCTTTTTGGTCAACTTCTTCAATTGTCACTTTTGATATGCCTTAATATGATAATGCATTGGTTTCTGAATACACGACCTGGCATTGCACCCTTTCTTTTATTCGAAACTAGCTAAGGACGAAGAAGAAAGATTCTGATAGTGACTACGAAATATGAAAATCGTAATCATTTCCGGGAATGAATCGTTTTCGTATATAATCTTCGTCTTGAAAACTTTAGCCAAGCCGTCAAATTATGGCCGTAGAGAGATGGTGAAGAAAAATAAAATAGTAGCGTATAAAGATTCATTAAGAACTTCCAAACCAGTTTTATCGACATCATCTGTCTCATTGATTGCTCTTTTATTAATATGCATGAGCTAATTCGTTTATCAACGTTTGGTAATTCGAGGATGACTAGTTCAACTTGCTGTCGGAAGCTAGGTCAGGCGGTATGACGAAATTATTATGTACATTTCCAGTTATGTTACAACCTTTCTATCTAAAGAAGGTTACTTGTTACGTTGACCTGCCCATTCGTGCAACAGCCGAAGTTGTTGCGATGCCCTACCACAGATAAAGGTAGGACTCAATTTCTTTGTTTAACATAAATATGTACAAACACCGACTTAAAGATGTCCAGGGAATTTGTTCCACACTGTCTTAAACAAAGAGTGGCCTCAGCATCTCGATATACTGACAGTCAACTTGGCACCGCTGAAGGGCCTGGAGTTCCGCCCAAATCTGATTCAACAGGTTCGAAAGCCTTCCTATAGTGCACATACGCTAGGCATAAAGGCAAATTATACTCTTCGGTTTTCTGTATAATCTGCCACAGAGTGTGTATGTGGTTTCTTGTACTAAAGCCTTTTTCGGAATACTGCTTGTTCGGGGGTCTGGAAGTCATCGGGTCATCTCAGATCATCGGCAGAATCGCTGGAGATTTTTTATGGACATATTAATTTGTTAGTTTAATGTCACAGCCGCCTCTATAGACATTCTAATCCCCAGTCATAGCCGTTCCCTTTGTTACCTTGCAAATTGTTTACCAGGTGAGACTACCCGTTATTACTTCAATTTAACTGCACTTCAAAAGTAATGAAATAGCAAACGTAAAAAACAGAACAAGAGCCATTTACTTGTAGCAACACTTGACACCTTTTTATTCGATTTTATTGATACATAAGCATTGATTGTAAAATAAACAAATTAAATATCCATTAAGATGTCTTACGAAAATTATTTACATTTAAGCCCGATAGTTTATTACCTTAATATCTATATAAAATGGTAGTCGACTCTTCTTACGGGTTTGAATAAAAAGAATTCAATACGAACTGTATGCAATAAAAAGTAATTTCGACTTCTTATATAACTTATTAGTTGTGCACGGTCGTAATATTTCAAATTTCCATTGAGTTTTTGAACTCCGTTTTAAATTTCTTGCACGTCTTCTGTATTATTGTAAATATAACTTATTGTATATTATTTTCTTCGTTCATCTTGAGTTTCGAATATTATAATAATATTATAATACACTGATTATCTTTCAGTAAATAAAATATAATTGAAACAGTGAAATATAATCAGTTTATTATAATAATGATTTGTCTAATATTGATGACTCCGTGGTGCAGTGCATACTACGCGACAGGGGTTGTGGGTTCGATTCCCACACGAGACAACTATTAGTGTGACGCACAGATAACTGTGAAATTTATGTATATGTAAAGTTATAAGAAAAATGATCCGTTAATCTAAGGTCCATGTATAGAACGAATACAATCTTTCCAAAACTTTCCGAGCAGTTTGTGAAAGACAGACATTTACTTAATTTCGTAACTACGCGTGAACTCGCGCCGATAGAATACCTCTCGTATAATGATACAAGAGTCTCACGCAATTCTAGTGAACATAAAAAAGACGTAAACTTGGGGCAATCAATCATCAGTCATGATTTTCGATAAAAGCGTCCCGTAAAAAGACCCGAGCAATTTCGCAACTCGGCCAGAATGGTGTTACTGTGTGACGCACCCAAGAGACGTGTCGAAATTAAAGTTGTCTCTCGGCTCTAATGTCTATTGAAATGAGAAATAAATTACACGCACACATGAGCAAAGACAAAACGTATCTTAACGCTATTGAATTACGCCCGAGACAATAGTTGCCTTGTGTCATAAAGAATGGCGAAAAAAATATTTTTGATTATTATTCGTCAGGTGTAAAGGAAACCTGTGCATTATTTTTGGAGACAGCTTCATAGGTTAACAAAATAAGAATTACGTACGTGAACGGGGAAAGTATACGTCAAAATATTATTTGAACATAATACACTAACTAAACTTAAAGGTTATAGTTAGACTCGCCATGCTGCGAAAAACCGATAGAAGCAGTCTTAATTCAATTTGATTCATTGTTTTGTCACAGTCTAACAATTACGTGATGAGGCTAATGTTAACTCAATTCTGCCACTTACGGAGTCGTTCATTTCCCATGAAGCCTACATTGAAATCATGATGATGATGATGATTTAAGTAAAGTCTTATCTGTATAGAAGGTATTAGACCATAGTCCACCACACGAGGTGGGGGGCATTTCTTTGAATTTTTACTATTATTTACAAAATATACAAGTTCGCATTTTCGCGTTTTCCTTGGTCGCTGAACACGTATTAAGTCAGCCCATAAGGAATTTGAAATCAAGTTGCTCGATTATCGTTATCATCATTTCAGCCTGTTACCACCTGAACATATGCCTCTTCCACTGAGGTACCTCGACTTTCCGCACATTTGCACAGGTCTTCACACCATCTGGTGGTCATCCTACACTGTGATGGCCAGTATGAGGCTGACACTCGAAAACTTTTCTTTCCCGATTAAATTGAATTTAAAACGAGCGTGCGAATACTTCATCGCTATATATAATTAAGAGTGAAGTAAGTAAAGTAACAGCCTATACATATCCCACTGCTGGGCGGAGGCCTCCTCTATACAGAGGGTATTAGAACATAATCCACCACGCGGCGCCACTGCGGATTGGCGGACTTCACATATCTTCGAAATATTTTTTTGTTATTATTTCGAAGAGTATGCAGGTTTCCCCACGATGGTTTCCTTCACCGCAAAGCACGTGATAAGTCAGTATTTAAAATCAAGAATTTCATTGGTCGGCACCGGGATCGAACTCAGATTGGTCGAGTATTCGTATATTTAATTAAAGGCGAGCGCCCGGACAATGAGCCATCACGGCTTATATAATTTTGAATGATGAATTAAGCTGTGTAAAACGGAAACATACTTAACTATGTTATTTGAAGTGTTACATTTAATGACCTTCACTCAAGGCATTTAACGGTTGCAGATCCCGCTCAGCCAGCTGTCACACCGCTACAGGGTCCCATCCTCCTACGCAACGGGTCCGTCCCAGTAGTACCACTTACATCGTACCCAACAGTCAACAACGGGTCCTTCTACCAAATACCTGTAAGTAGCATCAGCTTAAGATATACCGGAATAAACAATAGTTTAAAAAAGAACTAAAAAACACGCTTCTGTAGACAACCGAACTGAAAAGTAGGAAATAATCTATCTATATATTAAAAATGAATTGCGCGTTAGTCTCTCTAAAACTCGAGAACGGCTGGACTGATTAGGCTAATTTTGAAATATTTATGCCAGTCCTGGGAAGTCAGCTAGTTCTAATAAATTAAAATTATGAATAGTGTGATTAATAAAAAAAAACATTATAGAAAAACGCAGGGCGCTTGGAGTCAATTGTTATAATATTTTAATGACAGTATACAGGTAAAAGTAGTCATAATGTAAATATCTTAAAAAGCAACCCACGATTTTCTGCAATACTTTTTTTAGATCTTTATGTATTATATTATATATTTCTGATATTACATAAAATAGAATAATTTGAATAAAAGTAAACATATATGAAAGTCCATACGTAGGTATATCACGGGCTCGGCGGTGAATGAATTATGAGAAATATTTGAAAAAAGTGTATTTCTGTAATTACTGTCGTAGGGCCACGCAGCAGCCTCGGCTGTTGCACGAATGGGCAGGCTCGTCCGGGTAAGTACCACGACCTCACAGAAGACCGGCGTAAAGTGGAAGTCGTGGAAGTCGAAGTTCGCGTTTCGTCTGGTGAGTGAGGTGGCCGGAGCCCAAGTTTCAAAGGTTGTCAACCCACCCTCGGGCTAGCAGATGCCCATGGGCGGCGGTATTCACTTAACATCAGGTGATCCGTCTGCTCGTTTGGCAACTTATTACATAAAAAAAATTAACAAAACAAAATTTGAACAATGTTTCCATATCTTAAACTTGCCAATCTGCTGTAGTGTACCCTAATAACATTTCTTTAATATAATAGGGTGTTTTTATATATAAATATATAAATATTTATATGTTATAAACATATACATATTAACATACGGAATAGGGGATATTTTATAATTGCCATACTAACATAGAAGTAAGGAAAAGGTAAAACTTCATGGTAATAAAATACAATGCAAAACTACTTCAATTTGTTTACTATGCTGATTTGTGCCACGGAAAATTTAACGTAACTGAGATTTGCCTACCGGTGCGAAGCCGAGGCGAGCAATCTGTTTAGTTAATTACTAAGACATCTCTTGCTTGGCGGTTAAAACTACTGTCTTGATGCTTTCGTTTCTCAGTAGAATCTACAATTTATGGATTAAATACACTTTCCCGAATCTATGCCATGCGCGTAGCGGCTAATTAAAACTTGTGACTTCAAACTGTTTCAGCTTATCCCGTCTGAAATTAATAGTTTTAGTTTATTAGTTATTTTAATAATAATGAAGAAAAACAAATAGGTCACGACAAGTCCAATAATTTTTAAAAATAGAAGAAAATTTTCAAATAAAAATGCCATTGTTGTTTTGGGTATTTATATTATTTTGAATAAAATATTTAGTGAAAATTCTTTAGTTGTATAAAATAGAAATGATCTCAAATAGTTTTCGAAATGAAAACTATTTGAGATATTCAAATTTTGAATTAAAAAGGCAAGATTAGACTGTAAGGTCGCTCTGATTGTATGACAAAGAAAAACATGTAACTAATAGTGCACAATGAACTTAGTGTTCTTGCTACTTCAATGAACCGATAACAGATTTTTATACATTAATTTATTTATCACAAAACACAAACCTTTGACTAACATCCCACTTGTATAAAATATTAAAAGAACTTCTAATAGGCCGTTTTCTTTCCAATACCGCAAATCTAAATACATAATTATACTCTCTGGTTGACAAAGAGATCCTGGCCTTTTATTAAAGTATGTACTGTCGATATAGTTTTAAGAATGGTTTATATCTCGTCACAGCACAATATACGGATATATAGCACAGATAGATTCCAAACGTAACGTAGGTTCAATAAAGCTCACTGAACATGTTATTTAAGGCTTCAGGTTGGTATTTGGTTCGAAGTTTAGCATTTAACTAAAACCAGGTTCAATCGTAGTGTTTAGAACACAAATAACAGTTATTAACGTAACACCGCAGTATAACGAGCCGTTACGTACCTGTTGACGCTAAAATAAGTTTTTTTTGTCGTGTAGTTAACTATCATATTGGTGTGTACTTGAGTAAGTCAGTCGCGCAATAAACTAGCAAGCTGCAACACGTCTTTTTATTCAAATAATCCCGTGCACTACATACAGTCCATTTTCAACTCTAATACACCAACATATGGTCGAAATCGTTCGCCGGATTTTGCTAGCGGAGCTCGGTCGTCGAGAACAAAAAGAAGAAACATCAACGAGCTGAGAACTAAAAAAACACGTGTCTTAATATAAAATTTGCATTTACGAACACTACTGTGAATCAAGATTAAGTAATAATTGTGAAATATGGCAAATAAAGAACAAATTCTGTCCGTCTTGGAAGATACTGCAAACTCGCTCAGGAAAACACAAGCCAATCTGAAAAAATGTCCAAAATCTAGACTCACAAAGGGATACATAGAAGCCCGCATTAAAATAATAGATGACTACTGGAGGAGCTTCAAATCTGCACATCAAGATCTGGTTAAGGTAATTCCAAAAGAACAAAAAGGAACATTGCCGTATTTTTTAAACGAAGAATTTTTTATCTATGAAGACCTGTACAACGTCCTCCAGGGCGATTTAAAGGACATGCTTATTGCATTTTCAGAATCTTCATCTATAGATAGAACGAATACCAGCGTCAATGTTTCACAAGTCCAAAAACAGTGTGTTACATTTGCCTAAAATACAGCTACCGACGTTTGATGGTACATATGAACAGTGGCCTACTTTCATGGACTTATTTATATCATTAGTGCATGAAAACAATTCCTTAAATGATGTTCAAAAACTTCACTATCTTAAAACAAGTGTGATCGGAGAGGCCGAATCATTATTAAAGTATATACAAATTACTTCAAGCAATTATTCACATGCATGGGATATATTAAAATCAAGATATGGCAATAAGCGATTAATTTTGAATGCTAATATGAAAAGACTATTCAATCAAAGAAAAATGACTTCTCAATCAGCTTCTCAAATAAAACAACTTCTTAATACGACCACTGAAACTTTGAACAATTTACAAAATTTGAAAATTGATATCAGCTCTTGGGATCCGATTATAATTTATCTTCTTGTCCAGAAGATGGACCCAGAGACGCATAGAAGCTGGGAAGAGTATGCTTATAAGGATGATTCAGAGACCTTACCAACGTGGAAAGAATTCAAGAAGTTTCTAGAAACAAAATTTCGAACCTTAGAACTCGTCACTGCAACAAGTGAACGAGAGGTTAAGCGAGTAAGAGAACGTTCATGTCATGTTGCCACACCCGTCGCTGAAAAAAAGATGTATCATGTGTAATGATAATCACACGCTGAGTCACTGCAAGGAATTTAGTAAGCTGGAAGCTAAGAAAAGAAGTGAGTACGCAAAGAACAAAAACTTATGTTTCAACTGTTTAGTACCAGGACACTCATCGGTTAAATGCAGACTGCCGGTGTCCTGTCGTATTTGTTACAGACGTCATCATTCTCTGCTACATGAGAACAAGACAACAGAACCAATGGCTTCTACGAGTAATCCTACACCACTGGCTTCACAGCATGTAGTAGAAGAGAACAAAGACTTTCAAGTCAACACAATGGTAGCGTCCCATCACACTACTAAACAGGGAGTAGCTCTACTAGCAACTGCGATCGTGGAAGCATCAAACGAACAAGGTCATACCATTCCACTTCGCGCACTTATCGATCAAGGTTCCCAAGCAACCTTCATTAGTGAAAAGGCGACTCAACTATTAAAACTAAAACGTCGACCAATTAAAGGATCAGTTGTTGGAGTGGGGGATACAAGAACGGAATTAAAACAGGTTGTACAACTACAAATATGTTCACATTGGACCTCAAGCACTAGTATCTCCATTGAAGCCTATGTGATGGCAAGACAACTCACAACAAGATTACCTGCAAAAAACAATTCAAACACAACCTTGGCCTCATCTAAGAGGACTTACCTTAGCTGATCCCTCGTACTTTACACCAGGGACAATAGATCTTCTCTTAGGGGTCCAAGATTATTCAAAAATTGTACAAACTGAACTCATCAAAGGTCCGCCAGGTACACCATGTGCACAAAATACCAGCCTCGGATGGATACTTTTTGGAGAAGTCAGTTCAATTCCTCGAGAAAACACTTACCTTGTTCTGCATCATCAAGTTGATGTAGAAGATATGCTGAAAGCATTATGGGAAATTGAACCAGACAAAAGAAGACATTTAACAATAGAAGAAAAGCAATGTGAAGAAATATATACAAAAACGACAACTAGAAACAAAAATGGAATTTATAAAGTAAAGTTACCATTCAAGGTAGACATTCCGCAATCAATTGAAGGAAATTCAAAATTAATAGCCAAACAAAGATTCATGCAACTAGAAAGAAAATTTCGGAAATCGCCAGACCTGAAAAGAGAATACACAAAGGCTATTAATGATTACTTAGAAAAGGAACATATGGAAGAAATCCCAGAACATGAAAAGAAAAAAGGTCAGTTTACTTACCTCACCACGCGGTCATTCGCAACGATAAAGAGACCACACGAACACGCGTTGTATTCGATGCTTCCTGCAAGGGCTCGAACAATGTATCTTTAAACGATGAACTGTTAGTGGGTCCACAGCTCCAAGAAGATTTAAGAAATATACTCACTAGATGGCGAATGAAACGTGTATGCTTTGTGGCTGACATCCAACAAATGTATCGTATGATATTAGTAACAAAGGAAGACACTGACTATCAAAGACTTTTCTGGAGACCAAATGAAACTGATGATCTACAGGAATATAGACTTCTTCGAGTTACTTTCGGCACATCTGCTGCCCCATTTTTGGCTGTAAGAACACTTCGCCAAGTAGCGATTGATGAAGGAAACGGAAGACCACAGGC